TAGTAGTAGTAGCAGTAGCAATAGGAGAAATAATAGTACAGAAAAGTAATAGTAGTAGTAGTAGTAGTAGTAGTAGTAGTAGTACTAGTACTAGAACTCGAACAAGTACTAGTACTAGTACTAGTACTAGTACTAGTACTAGTACTAGTACTACTACTACTACTACTGCTGCTGCTGCTACTACTACTACTACCACCACTTGTTGTTGCTGTTGTTGCTGTTGTTGTTGTCGTGGTGGTGGTGGTGGTGGTGGTGGTGGTGGTGGTGGTGGTGGTGGCGGCGGCGGCGGTGCCGGTGGTAGTGGTAGTGGCAGAAGGAGGAGGTAGGAGTAGGAGCAGGAAGAGTAAGAGTAGCGATACCAGCAGTAGTAGTCGTCGTCTTCGTGGTAGTGAGGGTACTGCAGAGACTTGTGCTACTACTACTACTGCTACTACTACTACTACTACTACTACTACTACTACCAGCATTAGTGCTAGCATTAGTCCTCGCTAGTACCACCGCTACCACCACCACCACCACAACCACCAGCAGCACCACCACCACATCCTTCGCCCGACGAAATCTGAAGCCCCACTCCCACTAACATCTGAACGAATCGCTTCGTGTTGCAAGATTCCAGCTAAAATCATCTTGCTGCATGCTGTTGTCGGGCTGACAGCTTACGGCTCTTTCGGGGGGAGGTCCAAGAACTCATTAAGGCACAATGCTCGTGGAGAACCCGGTCCCGACCAGAGACTGCTATGCAGGTGCGTGCCGGTGCCCGGCGAGCCCCACGGTGAAGATCGCCAGCCACCAACCCTGAACTTTGAATAACCCTCCACAAGCGGAGCTCGAAAAAGCTTGCAGGCCACGAGACATCCTGCAGAAACAGGAGGCTCTGCATATCCTGCCGAACATGCTCGGCTGAACTTGGGCTCAACGCCCAAAATCGCAGAAAGACGAACAACTGCTTGAAGCACTTGCGGCCCCATCGACGTGGAGGCCCCTTTTCCCCCCTCTACCCCAGCAATCAGCACGAAGTATAAAGCAGTGATACCCCCAAACAGGTGTAGAATACTCTGCTCGCGAGGCCACTCAACTTAATGTTCTGGGCACTCCGCTACTCTGCCATTGGCTATATCCCTGCAATTTATCATCCGGCAACCCTCAAAAAACAAACCCTCCTTAATCCAAACCCTACATACACCCTTAGCCTTAGATTTCTGAACCACCCACACGAAACCCAAACCTTCCGTTTTTGCCCAAAAAACCCTAGACTACCCCAATCCGGGAGCCTCCTCGCCCACCTTCTTCAGAAGTCGCTCTAGGAGTTCCGGGCCCTTCTGCAGGTGCTCGAGGATGACCTGAGAGGAGGGGTGCTGGCACTCTCTGGGCGTATGTAACACACGCACAGACATTTCCATATCTATATCTGTGTATCTATCTA